TGAAGATTTTCATATTTTCTATTATTTTTAAAAGATTCGTTAATTACGGAATTATTGAAAATAATTGTAACAGTATTTATAAATATTAAAGGAATATTCAAAGAGAAATTTTAATGATAATTCAAAGTATTAATAATACTTTATAACTATTAGACTAAATATGAATAAGTACTAAAAATATTAATAATAGAATTATTTAAAGGTTGATAACAATTGTGTTCTCTTAAACATAATAATTTAGACTACTAAAAAGAGTTTTCAAAATCTCAAAGTCAAAATTATAGAGATTATAATATTTGTATTATCAGCAATACGAGATCAAAGATGAATAATATATTATCAGCAGTACAATATCAAAAATAAATTTATTAGTAATATATTATTAGCAATACAATCTCAAAAGTAGATTTATGAATTATAATAATAATTTCTTTATTTAATATAATATTCTTTAGATTTCATTATAAATATATTCAAATAATTTAGTATTAAAATAATAGTTTTTATAGTATTTTTGACAATCTTGCTTAAGCTATTATAATATTAATTCAAAATTTATATAACACTTATAACAATAATGCTGAAGTAATTATACAAGAAATAAGAATACTTTGTCAAAGGGATATAAAAAATAATTTGTACTTGGCTATCTACTTTATAATAAATACAAATTTTATTCATATTAATGATTAAAACTATATAATAACTAGCTATAAGATAATAATTAAAAATATTATTATTAAAGAACTTGTTTTAATATAATTTTAATAGCTATAATACATATTGCTTTTATACAAATTCAAACTATATTTGCTAGTTTATTTTAATTCTATTGGTCCAATATTCACTTATTCATTTGCTTGTTTACTTATTTATTTACTTGTTTATTCATTCACTTGCTTGTTCATTTGCTCATCTCATATAATTAAGTTCTTTTAATAAGATATAAGATATTTATTATTAAGTATAAATAATTCAGTAAATTTGTAAAAATACTTTCTTACGTGAAAAATATTAAGATAAATTTATTAATTATTATAAATAAATTATATCAATTAAGATAATTTTCAGTTTTAATTTTAATAAAGCCTATTCTTATTTATTAAATAGTAAAAAAATCTAAAGAGTTATAGTTTAGAACAGAGATATTTAAATATATAATTTGATATTTGATAAATTACAAATAAATTAATAATAAATAAAGAATAATTAGTTCTAAATTATTAATCTTAAAGATAATATGTACGTTACTTAATTAAATATATATGAAATATAAATAATAATAAAAAGTAATTAATATAAATTTAAAAATAATAAATATAAAAATGAAGAAATAAATAAAAAGAAAAAGAATTAAATAATATATATCTAAATTAATAATGTGATCTATATTTTATATCTAATTTATTTAGCAAAATATTAAGAAGTATTAAATGTAAATCTGTATTAATTTCTAATATGTTATACAAAAAATAATAAATATAATATGAAAAATAATGAACATGATACAAGAAATTACAAGTATATATAAAAATTGTTACAAAATTATTTAATCAAAGTTCATTATACAACAATATAAAAATAAAAAATATTTATTAGTAAAATTAAAAATTTTATGTAAAAAAATCTATATTTTACTATATTTAATTAATAAATTTTGATATTATTACATTATTTTTAATTGTTATTATATAAAATAATATAATAATTAATAGAATTATAAAATTATACATGTAATTTTATTAATAAAAAATAATAAAAATTAAATTTTTTGTCTTATATAAAGTTTTTAATTTTATTAATAAATATTTTTTATTTTTATATCAAATAATATTATAAGTTATAGTTTAATATATATTTTTTCTGGATTTTTTAGATTTTTTCTGATAAAGTTATTTAATTATAAATTTATTACTAAAGTTTTTTATAATTAATTTTAAATTTTAATTATAAAAATTTTTGCAACAACTTTGTAATTAGAATAATTTTGTCAAAAAATCTAAAAAAGCCATAAAAAATATATATTAAATTATAAACTTTTATATAAAACAAAAATTTTTATTTTTATTATATTTTATTAATAAAATTATATATATGATTTTATAATTTTGTTAGTCATTATCTAAGATAAAAATTTTAATTTTTATTATACTTTATTAATAAAATTACACATATACTTTCATAATTTTATTAAATATTGTGTTATTTTATATGATATAATAATATTAATATTTTTTAAATTTCAATATTTTATATTTTGTTAAAAAAGTATTTTTAAATACTATTTTTCAAAAAAAGAAATAAATATTCTGAGAAATTGTTATATTAAAATAAATAAGTTTAGTTTTTGTTTTTGTTAAAAAAAGAGACTAAAAGTTTTGATAATAAATCAAAATTTAAATATAAATTAATAAAAATCAAATAAATTATATATATAATATATAATATATTATATAATTTGCTTAATTTTTATTAATTTACTTTTATTTGATTAATTATATAAATAATTATTTGAATTTAATTATAATTTTTTTTATAAACTAGGATATATTTACTTATTTTAATGCACTTTTTTTAGCATATATAAAAATTTATATTATAAAATATTTTTTGCTAAAATTTTAAATATTAATTTATAACAAATAATATATTTTATATAAATTATTTATTTATTATATATTGAAAATAAAAAATTAAAATCCATTACTTTAACTCTAATTTTAACTCTTAACATGTTCTATTTTTATGCATCTATAATTTTTTTTATTATATACTTAATTAAATTTATATTTTTTTCTTAATAAAATTTTGAGATATTGAGTGCACGAAAATAGGAAGATGCACAAAAATAGATACATCTTAATATTATCCATTTGAAATAAATAACAATAATATTAATCTAATTATAATTTGACCAAGTTATTTTCACTTTAGCAATGATTGCGTCGAATAGCTATTTGAATTGAACCTATCACATGCAATGTAAAAAGCATATCACGTGCAATATACTATTTAATGTGATACGTTGTTTTACATTGCATACAGCAATTTGAAACAAAATTTAGTTTAGATTTCCAGCACCATACTCGTACGAAATCATCCAACCAAGAACTTCAGCCGTTACTCTTTCAAGTCAAACAATATAATTTTTTTCTTTAAAGTAGGCATTTTATAATAATTAAAGTCTTTATCTGTAACTGATTAATTCAGTGAATAAAAATAACTGCACTTAGCAAAAATTTCAATTATTATAATTGTTTGATTCGCTTTCGTTACAATTGTTTTGTAACATAAAAATCAATTTTTACAATTTTCAATATTGTAGATGAGAGATTGTTCCTTCAATTATGAATTAAAATGTAAAGTAAGACTATTCCGATCCTTAACTTTCGTTTTCTTGATCTCTATTATTATTGTTATTAAGGTTAATAGATTTTCCTTCTATTGTTTCATCATCGCAGTCGTCGCCGTAATCTTCTCCATTATCAGCATAATTTGCGTGATCACTTTCCGGTAAAGCAGAATTCAAATCATTATCTTCATGCATATTCTCTTCGCTATTATGAAATATGCTTGTTTCACCTTCATCTTCCATTATCAGTGTATCAACATCAGTGAGGCCATCAGTAGAAGCACCCGAAGCAGCTGCAGCTAGAGCTGCGCGTTTCTGTTCAGCTTCCCTTTTCATCTTTTCGTGAATTTTTAATTGCTTGTTCCATAATTTGTAATATACACCATTTTGAATTGAAAGAAGTTCCTGATGTGAACCCCGTTCGACTATTTCTCCTCCTTGTATTACAAGAATTTGATCGGCATGGACGATTGTTGATAATCGATGTGCTATTTTATATATCATATTGATGAAATGAATTAGAATAATAACAAATCTGGTAATATTATTAATTGATAGATGAAAACAAACCGATGATCAGGGTAGTTCGATTAACTGTCATATTGCGTAGAGCTTTTTGAATGTGACGTTCAGTGTGTGTATCAAGAGCTGACGTTGCTTCATCAAGTAACACTATTTGTGGATTCTTTATATAAAATATGTTTACTAAGCTTTGGAATGTATATTAGAATAGATATCTATCTCATCAAGAAAAAAAATCGTTACCTTCAACAAAGTTCTGGCAATAGCCTAAACAAATTATTAATAGAATTTTGGTGAAAAAGATTAATTCAAAGAAAAAGATTATGTATACATTTAAGAAACATACCACTCTCTGTTTTTCACCGCCACTTAGCCTCAAGCCACGCTCACCAACTTTAGTATCGTATCCTTCGGGAAATCCTAATATTTTTTCATGGATTTGTGCCGCAGTAGCAGCTTCTTCAACCTGCTTATCAGTCGCATTAATCTTGCTATAACGAATATTATATCGTATTGTGTCATTGAATAGAACAGTATCCTAAAAATGATATTAGGTTTTTTTTTTGAAAAGTCAAATATCAAGTATAGTGCTAATTGAATTCAACAAAAATAATAGCTTACTTGTGGCACGACTCCGATATTGCCTCTTAGATCACGTTGTTTAACATAACGAATATCTTGACCATCAACAAGAATAGAGCCGGATTGCACATCATAGAAGCGGAAAAGGAGGCGTAAAATGGTAGATTTTCCACCACCCGATGGACCAACCAAGGCAACAGTTGAGCCACTCGGTATCGTAAATGAAATGTTCTTCAAAATAGGAACTCTTGGATCGTAATGAAATGAGACATTTTGAAATGTTACTTCGCCTTTTTTCATGATTAGTGACGGCGCTTGTGGCAAATCTTTGACTTCCGGCACTTCTTGCAAGAGATCAAGCATTTTCTCCATGTCGACGAGATTTTTTTGTATTACACGATAATAAGTGCCAAACCAATTCAAAGGCCCATATAATTGCAGTATATATGTCAAATACATGATGAAATCTCCGACGGTCATTTCTCCTTTAGTAATTCTTTTGGCACAAAGTAAACATCCGGCTACCAGTCCTATTTGAATTATCGTGTTCTGAATGCCATTCAAAATATATAAGCTCATAGTGGATTTCCTTTCAGCATTTTGGTAGGCTAAAATGGCATCCGTATATTGCTGAACTGAGATATAGTCAATTAATGAAGTACACAATTAAATAAATTTTTTTTACAAAATTCAGAGAAAACATTTTAGTACCTTCGAATGCCTCAGCAGCGTATAATTTTACAGTCTCATAATTTAATAATGAGTCCACTAAACATGAATTACAAGTAAACTGACATAGTAAGTCAATATTGAGTGTTAGTACAAAACATATGCGTTATTATTATTACTTACCAGCTTTAGCCTCCATTGCATTATCAAGTAAATTTGCCTCCCTTCTAAACTTTGTTCTCCATTGAGTTACTGCAATTGTGGCGATGATATAGCTGGACATTGTCACGAATACAATCATTCCAAAGTAGAGATCGAAGCTGACAGTAAAGTATATAACTGCAATACCAATATCGACGAGGGTCGGTACAATATTAAAAAGAAAGTAAGAAAGAATGGATACGATCGAAGAAACTCCGCGATCTAACATAAAGAATGAGTAGAAAGATTGGCATAATCGTCATCAACATATTATTAACACGTCGTATTTAAAAAATCTACCTTGAACACGTAGTATTTCGCCAGTCTTTCGATTCAAATGAAATCGCAACGATAAATTGAGTAAATGGTCAAACATTTTTACTGATACTTCTCTGGTTGTGAACTGACAATTATAACTCAATTAGTCATGTCTCTCATTTCTTAATAGAAATCATCATACTAGCATGATGTTCTTACCTGTCCGATAGGAATCCATAGAATATTTTGAACAATTTTCAAGAGACCGACATCACCTTGCAAGAATCTCAGAAACACGTAAAATAAAATTTCTTGCCAGGCAAATTTATATTCGGTAAGTCTTTCAATTAAGATTTTGTTTTGATAGGGCAACAGAACATTGACAACCCGTCCAGCAACTAAAAGCAGCATACAGATTAAGATGTAAATTTGTAGCCTAATGTTATCTGATGGCCACAAAAAGGGTACTATTTTTTTCATTTTGAATATGAAGTCTGCAACCGTGGTGGGTGGTGCGTATTTTGGGTCATCAGCCATCGAAATAGGTTTCCCATTAGTAGGTAATGCTTCTACATCGTCCGGAGATCTCGTGCCATCTTCATTTATGGTTGCATTTTCTCCGGGCAGGGAATGTTGACTTTGATTATTTAATGAATTATAGCCTTGTGCTTCAAAAGAACGTCTCCATAAAATCGATAATGCTGCAGCACAGATGACTAACAGTAGGATTGCTGTATATCTTAAGATATATACTGTCATTAATATCCAATTTTGAACCCATTCGGGCGGTCCATCCTCTTCGCGTGGTTTTGTGAAATAAGAAAGTCGATTATATAGTTCAATGTTCGTTAAAATGAAAGCTAAGTACCAGAATCCTTGCGTAAAATAACTCCATCTTTGATTTTGATTTCTCTCGTAAGCAACTACATAATATTCTATTATCCATGCGACAAATCGGAATATCGTCGAAATTAAAAGATACGATGGTATATTGGAATTAATTCGATTCTTTTCAGCCAATATAAACAGTATATAGAATCCATTAAGCAGTGTTATAAGTCCAACAAGAGTTTGAACAACATTTGCTAGTTTGCGTAGCGAAGGAGGATAGCCTCGATATTGGAAACGCGACGGTAATGGTTCATCATCATCTTCTTCTTCTTCATCATCTAGAGAATTAATTATACAGCTTAAAATAAATTGGTTAAATCACATTTATCATATAGAAGACGCGTTATATTGGAAATATACCATGATTATAACGGTCATCGTGACGTGTCTTTCGTTTCCTTGAGTAAAGATGTTGAATGCAGCCAAATATAAATATATATGCTGGTAAAGTTATTCCGATTGTAGTGTGTAGGCCGCACGGAGATATTCGTAACTCCTTCGAAAATGACGGAGGACAAAATAATATGGACAAAGATTCATTCATGTTTATTCGTAACGCTTATATTAAAGTCTATATTACTTTTTTTTGAATGAACAGCAACAACAAACATAGATACTTCGGTCCTACGTAAGAAAGAGAGTAACAAATTGTTAATCTTCTTTATAGAATAGGAGAGCGGAAGAAAATGTCTTTAACCGAGTGAATGAGACTCGCGAGATTTTTTATGTTCTGAAACACGTGGTACATGGTGAACACAAGTCACATGCAATGGCTTAATTAAGTGATTCTGATGAAATTAAACACATTACTCGGGTAACATTCTGCAGCCGTGCATCTATCAACTAATGTTGATTACCTATTTAAAAGTACTGTTATGTCATTAGACATCTAATATTGAAGGCTAACACTATTATGTCATTACAATGAACGACTATCTAGTTTTAGATTAGATCAAGCTATTACTGTTGTAATTATTAATTAAGGAATGATCTACATTATAAATTGACGTAAGTATAAATTTTCTCGGCCTTTGGCCAATCAAAATACTAAATTTTTAATAATGTAAAATTCATTGACAATTTTATATTTTCTCGCATATGCTAATATATTACCGGAAATTTCAAAAATGAATTTGTCACATTGGAAGCTGATATCTCGAGATCCAGTGATCCCATTCGAACAAAGTTATCACCATTAGATTCGC